AGTCCATTGAATCATTGCTAGAGTGCAGACACAAGACTAATTATGTAATATATAATACCTGGGACCCTGCCAGGTAAAGGATTGTAGTCCATGCAAACAATGGACTACCATTCTGGTTTTGAACGGATGTTCACGCTCATGTGCGGATATAGTTGTCCTTGAAAAACTCGAACGGGTATTCACGTCCTCGAACGGTTATTCACGCCCATGCACGGATTGAAAAATGACTATGTTGAAAGCCCCTAAAACCACCTAAAAAAGCACCCACAAACCTTCCCATCCACACTTAAATCACACAGCTGCCAACCACTCTGCCAACCCCATCCCACCCACGTTCATCTGCAGACCGACCCCCCTTTTCAAACAAACTTCACTTGTGTGCCCATGCCAGCTGGATGTGACATAAATAGCGCTGCAACGTCCGAAGCGCGCAAAGCCTCGGGCTCACGCACCGAGTCAACGTGGCCAATCGGCCTATAAAATCTTCGTCGATTGAACAACTCATAGATGCAGGATTCATGCACACGTTTGCCAACTGGCATTGCCTTCTCATTTGATGCGACAGTTCGTGGAGGAAGTGCAGCTTCGGGAATAATGGGAAATAGTTGCACCCATTTTCATGAGATAGTGCAGCTTCACAGACGTAGGTCTGAATGAAATCACGCAGGGCGCTACTCAATGTCAATCCCTTGGGGCCTGCAATGAAAACGCCCTCACTGTATATTCCGCGAAAGAACTGGTTGATCTTTTGCGTTCCCTTGGCCTCAGATACGCAAGCAGTGTTGGCATGGGTGCAGTGGAGAATCCAAATGATGGCTCACACAAAAAAACACATCCTGGCTTGGGCGTTTGTTTGGGAGGCCAGGATACTGTAAATGATCCTGAAAATTGGTGCAATTCAAAGAACACAAAATGCAACACAGGCACAAAAATCTCAAGCTGCTGATTTCCCTTCAAGATTTCACTGTTGCGGTTGCAGTAATCTTCCAGAAACAAGAGCATGTTGGATGTCACAGATGCTTTATTCCATGTCCCGTTCGGCTCGTTGCTGCCACCACCTCCCAGAGTGTAGCGGTCGATCTTCTTGATGTGTGCAACAAGCTTCGCCCTCTTGCAGAACTGTTTGTACTCGTTCGACAGAACAGCAATGCGCAGGTCTTGGTTTGGCTCATCCACTTGCTCTTGGAGCAGCATCAGCCCTGAGGCACTCCAACTTTTGCCCACGCCTAAATGCATCATGTGCCATGGATCAATCTGATGAAACTTTGCCTTTCCATTGGTGTCTTTGTCGACCATGAGATATCGAGTGAAAGCGCTCTCTCTCGACCAAGGTGGCGGATGTTCTGTAACATACGAATCGTCCATTGCAGCTTCTGCAGCTCGCCTGAGCTTCAACAAAATTTGCCCCACAACATTATAACAGACTCCTTGTAGACTGTTTCCAATTGAACTTCCAAAGTGTGATTTCTTTGTCAAAAGTAAAACTTTACGTGAAATGCACATTCTGGAGTCAAATTCTCCCAATCGATGCCCCGTCCGCTCAAGCATCGATGGCATATGCCTGGTCCCTCGACATCGAAGTCCCCATGTTGCCCGGCACCCTTGGGGGCTCGTCGATATGATCTGGTCAGATTCCCGCTGCCAACCTTGTCCCATGATGTCATTATATATAGAGAACATCAAGTCAGCATGAAAAAAGAACACACTCACCAAAATCACTCTATAAACATCTTGGAAAAACTTGGAAAATCTTGGAACCCATGAAATGACCCAGAAGCCAAATAAGACCAGTCTCCTTTGTTTCCAAGGACTACCACGTAGATCTTACCATGTGGCCTTCCCAGGTCAATTCCGTGCTTTTCCGCCGTGGAAAGATCCTTCACGAACATCTCAAACAGCGCATTCCATACACGCATGTCGTCGGAGTAAAGTTCCTGGAGGCAAAGCAGAAAGATCAATGAGGTAGCGCCCAGATTTTGGCACTTTGTTATGAGATGCATTGCATGCGTGCATGGAAACAATTATGTTGAATACAGCGCATACATCATCCCATATAGTTTAAATTAGAGCCTCTTCTTTGTAGGGCTGACTCTATTTAGCACACTTGCGCATGCTTGTGTTGATTGAATGGCAGCAGTCCTTTGGGCAAATGATGCTGGCAAACCTCGTCTGAAATCCAGTAGCTAAAAAAATTGAGGGGTATGCCCTCTGCAATGGTGCCTTCCCTTGCATCATTGCCCCGCTTTCTTTTCCCAGAATTGGAAGTCTTCGAGGTGCCAAACCCAATGATGCCCTGAAAGCTCAGGACGAGCACTCCGTTCTTCTTGTATGTCACTCCTTCGTCACCGTGAACAAAGATAGGTATGCACCGCTCCGGCACCCTTTCACCAGCATCAATGAGCTGAAATAGCTCATGCCTTGGACAAATTGCCCTGTAACTCCCCCAAAATTCTATCAGCATGTCTTTGGCCCCATCCAAAGACTTCCCACCGAGCAAATGGCTGATGTCGTTCATTTTGCCCATGGCTTTGAGGAAAGCCGTGGGTTTCAACCACGGAAAGCCTTTCAGTGGTGCAGTTTCTTCAATCGACAGCTCCACTGGGTACATCAATTGATGTTGGCTCAATACGTTGAAAATGGTTTCTTCCTTACATAAGTTGCATACAGGCTCACAACAATGCCAACAACTATATGAAGGTACATATGACACTTATCATCTTGGAAAGCGTTAGTCTGGTTGTGTTTGGTTGATTGGGGCAACTGTTGATAATTTCTTAGTTCTCACAACAAGAAGGTAATAGTGATAAAGGCTCACCATTGAAATCACAAATGTTAAACAACCAAGTTTCTCCCTTTCTTGGATCAGCTGAAGCTAGGGCGGAGAGTATGGGGCAACACGTCGGCGAGTTGAAACCATCGCGCGCATCTCGCTTGTCAGCAGCGGCGAATGCCAAAAGCTCGGTGCACTTATCCTTAGCTGTTGCATGCTACTTGCAAGTTGCATCATTCATGAACCTGCATATGACCATCGGTTCGAGTTGGGAAGTTGGTTACTTTTCTTCATGGTATCAAACATATATACAGAAGAAGATGTTCAATGGACGAGTCATATATCGAGATAAGCTGAAATCAGTTTTATGCATCCCACAACCTGATTCACAACAGTGCCGTTGAGTCTTATATAGTCTTATAGTCATCTAATGCACTGTGAAAATGGAAGTTGTCCCACATCAGTCAGACTTTGAATTCTATGCCAGTTCTCATGGCGTTGGCTGGCGTGAGCAGTGGGATTAGAGGCCAGGATTCTCCTCGGCTATATTTCCAGGCCAATTGTCTCCCCTTATGGGAGGGGCCTGGCGTGGCACGGCAATGTCGAGGAAAAGGTATATGTTTTTCACATGCAGTCATGACTCCAGATTCCAGATCTAAATCTACAATGGTGAGTGCTTTCCAGCAATATGCATGACAAAGAAGTGATTCGATCAAAAAACAAGCACTCGATTTGGAAGCCCTGAACTGTGAACCCACGCAGCTTTTCCAGCCCCATGTTCCATCTCCAACTCACGAGTCACGTGGTAAGAACCACATGTTCCAAGTCAAATATGTGCACAACACCCCCGGCCTGCATGACATGTCTAATTGACATGTGGTTTTCCACATTGTCAGACTCCCCGCAAAACAAACAAGGTACAATTCATAAACATTCGACTTTACACGTACATCTTTCTAGCAACAAGAAAAGCAAACAGCACATCAACCAAATCGTTTTAAAAAGGACCTATATGATGAACATCAATCGAACAGTGTTTGTCCATGTCATCCCCTATCAGGCCCGTTTGGGACGCTTCCCTTTTGGAGCATCCGCTTGGTTCTCAGTGATTGGGGTCTCGCTGGCCTTGGTCTTAGACTTTCTGGCAACGGTTTTCCCTTTGCCAGCATGCTTCTTGGACTTGTTGCCCTTACCCTTCGAAGCCCTCTCAGGTTTCGTCTTCTTCTCACTTTTGTCCTTCTTGTTCTTGCCCTCCTTCTTGCCTTTGCATTTGTCGTCCTCCTTCTCGATGCTCCTGCATGTGTTTATATACACAAATTGGACATCATCAAATGAAACCAGGAAATCCAGAAGGTGTGTTTTCTTTTAGCATCGAGTGGGATGCATATAAGCGGAATTCGTGCATATGAGGTCATAGATGCAGTTCGGTGTACATGCACATCATCGGGCCTGTAGCGGACTTCCAGTGGAATGAGCTCTGCACACCTGGGAGGTCATGAGGAGACAGGTGATTTGGGCTATATTGTTTACAAAGTCCTTTGGTGCATTTGAGCTACAACGTTCTCACTGTGTTCTTCTCTGCAACCACATCTTCCAAAAGCCTTGGGTTGTGGATGCACGGAGACCTCACAAGAAGCAACATATATCTATCTATATGTAATTGTATGTATGCGTGCACTGGTTCTATATAGCATGAGATACTTTTGACCTTGAGCGGGTTGCAATGCAGTGCAGGGAAATCACTTGTGTATTCCCTCATGTGTAGTTCTGCTGCTTTTCTTCCATAGGAGGTCGTTTGAAGGAACGGTATATTATGTAGGTCAAGAAAGGTCCCATCTCATCTTGCTTGACGGTCTCCCCACCATCCCTGACATTTCGGCAGCCAGGCTGTCCTTGGTTGGATGTTGCCGCAGTGATCAAGCCGGGTTGAATGGGATTTTGAAGAATTACACAGCACTTGTATATACAAATACTTTCATGAACAAATCAAGGCTCCTTTGTGTCGTTGGATGAGTGCACCCTCCACAAACGCAGGTGATGTTGACTCACTCGATGCATAAATCACAACTAGTTGTTCCCATCGGTCAGTCTCCCTTGCATATCCAAAGAGATCATTGTAGAACCGGTAGTGTGCACAATGTGTGAAGCCAAATTTGAAGATGCAAGGCTTTTGTTTCTCAAGGATGCCATCCACAATGTCGTAACATTGTTTCAAGACAAGGCCTGCCGTAGTCTTGAGTTTCTTTGGCAAATGATAGTCTAATCTGGGATCCTGCTCGATGAGATCGAAGCACTCCAAAGTCCTTCCAAGTTGCAACGTGGCAGCGTCCAAGGTGTTTCGCCAGTGGAATCGATCTCTCCGACGAGGTCCGCAGGTTGAACCTGTTGCGAGATGATGGACCGGAGTAACGATGGTGGACCAGAGTAATGTGGGGCATTTGATGATGGTTGTGAGTGTATATATATATAATATATAGAGATTGTTAAAGGTCATCCTTCATGCATTGAGACACATATAGGTTTGAGATGGAAAGAGCTGAACGTGGACCTGTTCATTTTCACTCTCAGAATTGCGAAGCGACGGCAAAGGGCTGGCCTTGTTCAGTTGGACTGAACTTCAGGGTGGGCAGCGCTTTGGCCTCTCCAGTGCAACAGTGCTTGTCGGATTATTTAGTTTTACAAGGTGCAGGTATACACACAAAAGATTGACTTGAACAACTTATGGGCCTGGCGATTGTAGTCAAGGAGTTCTTGAAGCCATTGCTCATCTTCATCATAAGCATCATCGCAAGTGGCGGCCATGAGAAAAAATCGAATGTTGGCAATCCCCGCCAAACAATACCCAACGTTTGTCTGTTTTGAGGTAAAAGCCCAACAAGCACAGAAAAGAATGATGAAGGATCCGGTGCAAAACATATGGTTTGGTATAACAAATGAATCAAGGGACTTCTTCAAGCGGTCGCTTTGGAGCTTCCCATCTTGGTGATCTAGCTTCAACTCAGTCACATAGCCGGAGAGGGTACCAAAGCTTTTGTCCATGCAGTCTTTCATCTTCTTGAGCTGCTCGGTCAACCTGGGTGTATGACACGGTGTGGCCAGGAATGCTCTTTCATATACCGTTGGACTGTTCAATTCAAGTTTGAAGAGCAGTGTTGAACGGATCGTATATATAGCCCCCAAGAAGAATATATATAAGAACACCATTCTGCGCCAAAAAAAGGTTTGAGGGTTGGACTTGCTAGCCGCATCATCCTTCCTGGACTTGATCTTCCCAACCATTTTGTCAACATTCTGCATTTTTTTTCTCCAAGCTGGCCATGTAGGTCTCCAAATCACACACGGGCTGGCCAGGGTTTTCGCAACATGCATTGTTTGATGACATGTTGATTGATCTACCTGTTGAACATTTGTTGAACTTTTGTGACCAACAGACTAACAGACCCATGAAGACTTTGTTTCACCATACATTGACAAGGGGTCCACGCCCTGCCTGCGACCCCACAACCTCTGGCTTTTGGGCAGGCTCTGGAAAGAGAGCAGCATCACGAGCAAGCAGAGCAGGCTCGGTCTTGGAAGTCTTGTCCTGGAATTGGGATTGAGTCATTAGTGAAATCCGTCCCAACCTACTGTCACTCCAACTGCCCTACATCACCATGGCATTGATTGCATGTTTGACTGGGCTTCCAACTAATGTGATCCCGAAGTTGAAAGAGCCCATCAACTATAATGTCTGCTGAGCTGCCTTCAGCTCAGTCTCCTCTTGCTCAATCGTGGTGTCTGTCTTCTTCCAAGAGCTTTGGTCATCGACTACCACGAAGTACTCTGGAATGCTTTCGTTGTACCGCCAAGGTCTGTGTGAGGCAGCGGGTGTCACGATGGGGGGACACTGCAGGTACTTCATTGGTCAAATGCGAACATGGAGAAGTGCTTTTTTGAACGCCTTTGGTGGCCATACTTGCAACACCCCCGCCTAATCAAAGACTCCGGGAATTTCTGGCAATACTTAATGATGTTCTTGATAGCAGTGGCACTGAAGAGGCCGGACTTTTTCATGGCCTCCTCAGTCATCCACTTGCCTACGGTCTCGGACTCCTTCTGTTCCATACGCTCCTTGATGATCTTGCACTTCGTCACAAACTCACCCTGACACTGACAGAATATTTATCCGTATATATGCACCACTTGTTTATATATCATAGTGAATGGTGCATGGATTCATATATGGAATGCACACATATCTTTAGCACCTGACTCAAACCTTTTGTTGTAGTACGTTTGGATCACTGCAGGGATGTTCCGGAAACGAACTGCCAAGGCCTGATGCATGCACTGAACGAAAACATCAACAAACCTAGATGACCCATGCATGGATTCTGTGCCTTCACCCTCTTGTAAGCTGATCTGTTGAGTCCATGACGTGCAAGAGACTCAAGCAGGGCCATTTCGAGCACCTCGCGTCGTTCTCCGCCCTCCTTGTACTCGGCAACGATTGCCTCGGGAACATGTTGGCGTCCACTCGGCTTGCGCTCGCATAGCCTACGGCAGCGCATCCTGAGAGCATCCGCAGAGATCTTTACCTGAGATGGTGCAGCGACCACACGTGGAGGATGTGTAGCTAGCGTGCCTCCAACATAGGAGGCACCATGCCTGCATATATGATCCGTGGCTGTACCAAGTTTTAAAAAAATATGATTTCTTTGAAGGAACATTTATTCATGTGTGCAGGACTCTCTGATGTGGAAACACTGTTCATCACAGTGACTGTTTGGCCACCAGGAGTTGTGATCCACTCCTCCTCATCTGCATCTTCGTCATGTTGCTCAGACTCGCTGTGCTGAGGTGGTGTCTCGTTCTCACGTGTTGAAGGGGGACCCTTCCTCTCAGTCTCACGTGATCCATTAACAACCTGTCCTTCTGGGATCTTTGGGTGTGATTCGAGTGGCCCACTCAAACGACCCTCCAACGCAACAACCCGGTCCATCATGGATTGAAACTGATCTTGAGCTTTCGATGCTCTGACCTCCGCTTCCTTGTTTGCCTCTCGGGAGGCCGCGTTGGCCTTCTCCAATGCCGCAATCTTTGCCAACAAGGTCTGCTCCCTGGTTTGTTGGTCAGTCAGCCGCTTGCGGAGTGCCTGGGCAGGAGTATTTTAAAGGAGTATTTAGACCCAAAGGGAAATATACAAAGGTCGGGGCAATCATCACAAGTATAGCGAGTGGTGTGTGCATGGTCTTATATGACTGGCCTGTTGAACAAACATTCAGGGAACACAAGGACTGTTAGACTTGACACAGTATAACTAATAGATGAGCCTCCATCTCCTCAGCATTTTGATTGCCCTGAGATCCAGGGTAAGTCAAAGATCGACGTGATGATCGGAGCAGTGCAGCATCCTAGGATAGTCAGCATGCACAAATATATGACTTGCATGGGAATAGGATTGTCATTTGGATCAAAAACAATAGGGGGATTGATTGAACCAAATCAAACCATCAATACCAGCCAGAGAATCCCCAGGGATAGTTGGTGCAGGTGAAGCGGGCGAGGGAGGGGCTCGACTACCGGCACGCTCCGATGCCTTGAAACAAAATCCGAAGTTGAAATCATACTCTGCCTGAAACATCATCATGCATGTTTTTTTGCACGTGCTATACCTTCACCTGTTGCTTTTACATCAAAATCAACAGTGCATATCAGTTGATGTGTGACAAGTTCTTTAAGGCACGCAGGATGGCCGGGGGATCATTCTGCTTGGCGTTGGCGATGCAGGAGCCTCCGACTTGACTTGCTTGAGGGCCAGGCTGCTAGCCTCAGAAGTTCAGGGCCCGTGGGTGGGCTAAATACTGTTTTGACTCGGAATGCAGCCATGCATGATAACACCTGCAAAATCTACAGATGTCGGACTGATTGGTCAACCTGTATGTGGGTAAAAGTATATAGGGCTTTAGACTGCATGTGTCCAAGATGTTGTGGGAAGAACTGCATGGCTATAGAGCAATTTGGATGTCATCGATGCAGCCAGAGCACCGAGTGTTTCTTCTGCAAGTGCTCTCGCACCATCTCGGTCACCTGGTCAGAGCTAAGGCGCAGCAGTGCCAAGTCAATGTAGTTTGGGATGATGTTCGCAAAAAGGCCCACACACTCGTATATGGCATGACCGGTAGTGTGATGAGATATTTTCACACTATAGAGTTGGTGGCGCCAACATGGCCAAGTCATGCTTATATACAATAGTGGAATAATTATATATATAGAGTTCTATTATATATATATGCAAGTCCAAAGTTCAATCCGGTTTCTAATACACACTTTAGGTGAACCTTCCAAGGCTGCCCGGCCTTTTGAGCATCCTCTGGGTTCATCTTAAGGCCGGGTAGAGCTGCTACCTTTTCAACACCCTCCATCAAGGTAGAGCAACTCCACCCTGCCATTGGCAGGCTAGAGACTTTAGAATCCGTGGACATGCTTGCGTCACAAGTCCTTCTTCCCCCAAAACACAACAAATGGCTGCGGCGTGCAAAAGTGGCCAAGAGTAGCGCAAATTGGATGTCTCAAACTTGGTGAAGTCTCATGCACAGTTGCCTGTGTTGATCTCGACCATCTATTTGGCATTCAGCTTTCTATATATTATGAAGTCTTTTCAATCAAGCAGCTGAACCAGTCTGGGACTCTGGTCATATATCGAATTTGAACTGAATTTAAGGCAAACATCTCAAATTAAGCCCATGGAATGTTTTGGGGCAGCTGGTCATAATGGGATTTTTGTTGTTTTTGAACAGTTTTGAAAGCATCCAAAAAGGACCTATCGGAACCCAGTTTTTTTGCGCAATCTTTACGTAATTTTTGCGCAAGTCGAACGTAATCGAACGTCTTTTGAACGTAATTTGAACGTAATCTGAACGTAATCCGAACGGTTTACGGGTTTTCATGTCCACTGAACGGTTTTTCACGCTCCAAATGGAAACTGCAAATTTGTGGTAAAATAGGAAACCAACCAGTATGAGGAGAATTATGTTCGTGATATCACCGCTACATGATTGTTTATAGCCATTTGTATAAGACTCAAGCTGCCCCATCTCAGGGCCCAGTAGTCATGCAGTAAGGTCCTGCGCTGGTGCAAAGGGTTATAACCCTACACATCCCGCCGCTTCTCCAAGCGGTGCAAAACCTCGAATGGTTTTGGAAATGCCTTTATCCAGTGATCTGGTGCACTGAGGCCCTTTCCTCCTCTTAAATACTTGATGACTGGCACCAAGCTCGCTTCGGTCCAGGTTTCAAAAGGGAGTCGTTCAAAAATCTGGGGGGCCTCTTCTGGGTTATCCACTTTTGGAGCTCCCTCAGCGTCCTTTAAGAGGTTCGGCATCAGGTTCTTGACTGCATCAGCAAAGGGTTGGGGATAAGTCCTTGGTAAAAGTCCCAACGTGATGGCGCATCCCAAACAAAGAAGCAGATTTGTTTTGTGATTTGATTGGTTCATGTTTTTTCTTTACAACAAATGCTCTTGCAGCAAATGAGTTCAGAACTGGCTTTGTTTCAGCTCTTTGGTCCCAACATACCCAATCTTGCCCGACTTGGAGATTGTTTTCCTCACGTTGGTGACCTTCGGTTTGGGCGCCTCCAACCTTTTCCATTTGCCCTTGTCTAAGTGCTGGAAGTGCCGGTTGTTGCACCATCCCTTCTGAGGCTTTGCCGAGGGCGCCTGGTAATGCCCCATCCACCAATGGATTTTGTATACCTCAGTCGCTGGCTTGGGGCCCCAGACTGCACCCTGTCTATATAGAATCGCTCCACATGGCTATTATATGGACGTGCAATGAAATTGAATTCTGTATAGAATAGGTCGGGTCACCAACATGGAATTGTAATTGTACCCATGGAAAACTTAAACCTTGAGCGGTTGCATGCAACAATGAGATGAACTCTCTTGAATGCCCTTGGTGTGAGGTCAACAGTTTTTTCCATAACCTGGATGCCATGCAAGAACCATTCATTTGCTTGGCGGGGGTATACTGTCCAATTGTTCAACACTGGTTTCACAAGTATGCAGGGCATTCGACCAAAAAACTCTTCAACGTCATGAGTCCAAGCATGCTAGGGCACCTTCATTTTTGCGCAGAGCCATTCAAAGCGAAAGAAGTTACCCATGAGGCTCGACTGTGGCTGTTCCAACAACCATGATCCACCACAAACCGTTGTAAGGGCCAAAAGAAGCACGCACCTTAGCTGAGGTTTGAAACGACCACACACTTTGCGCCAGGAGTACTCTTCCAAAACATGAGTTGCCTATATAAATATATTCATGTGTACATATATGTTTTGTTAGTTGCATTACTACATGAACATGCATATATAGAGGTCTGCTTGCAGGGTTAGAATCCGACTCACCATACAATTAGCCTGCTTTATGTACGTCTTCCCTTCGTCACCCTCGGGGAGCAATGCTGATCTGCAGCTAGTGTAGGCATTCAATGCCACCCAGGATGAGCAGACTGTGCCCCACACTGTAGCGAATCCGGATGGGTTTCCACACAAGATCATGTGGATAGCCAACCTCAGATGCAGCCGCAGGTCAGCTGGGATGGATATATACAGGCATAGCTCATGGGAAACTGGTATAAGGTGCTCTTTGCCTATATAAATATATAGTTTCTTTTTGAACATGTTGACACCTGTCAATCCTAAATCCAGCAAAATGAGACAAACTCTCAAAACTTGGGCCGCTACGCTAGTCCAGAGCATGAGAGGATATCAAAGGCGTTTCTACCTCCATGGTTTGTAGTGTCATCTATACCGTAGTTGATATCCAGCCCAACTGAATACCAGGAATCAGCCCTCACTGTTCGCCACACCCGCCCTTCACCAGCGAAGTATTCAATGAAGCTCAGGTCCTGCGCGCGCAACAGCTGCAACACCGATTTGGTGGGGATGCTCGACACCAGTGCCCCCGTGTGCCAGGTTGAAGACATCAAACATCTTTACTGTTGAAACCTCATATCAATCAGCATCTTTTTTGCTTAAAGAAACAGGGAGTACTCACACTACAGTCATCAGAGCTAGTCGATAAACTGCATGGAGAGTCCTCCTTGAATTGGGGAAGGTTCGATGTGAACGCCGTCAATACCACCAGCCAGATGAAAGCCTAAAGTGCAAGTCACATCAGAAAGCAATGCGAGTGAAGTGCATGAACCACATGCCCATCAAATTTCAATCATTGGCCAAGGGTGCCAGTTTACTATAGCTATAGTTGGTTCACGCCTGTCAGAAGACTTGAAACTTTCCAATGGCCACGATATATATACATTTATATACATTTATACATCCATGTTTTGCAGCTTGATTCATTGCATGGTTTTGGTGCTCTAGAACTTGTGACGTGAAAAGTATATAGTTTGTGTGCATGTTTTCACGTGTGCACTGGCCATGGAGCTTTGGGAATGCCAAGTTGGGCCAGGCCAATCACGATCTTGTTGATCCGATCTCTTCCAGCCATGGCAACAGCACCACCCTTGTTCACCAAAAAAAGCAAGTTTATGCAGAGGCTGCTGGACTC